TGAAGATTAGTTTTGCCATTGAAAATATAACAACAAGAGGTATATGATCTACTCTTCTATAAATTTTGAAATATATACCTGCTGGCTAGGGTTCTTATTGTGTTCATAAAGTTCTGTATCTAATAGAGAAAACATAGATCCAAATCTAGGGTTGCATGCACACATAGGATTGTTTGTTCAAAACCCATCAGTGGTATGAGAGCCTTTGGTTGGATTGTTTTCAATTAGTATTATATAATTGTATGAATTTGACTCTTTAGGATTTATGGCCAATAAACCCTAGGAGGCTAGGATTTCGATTTTAGGGTTCTTGAACCCTTGTGTTTGAAATTTTGAAGGGTTTTCAAACCCTTTTCCTTGTTACCCAAGATTTCGAGATCTAGGGTTTGCAAACCCTAGATTTTCAAGATTTTCCTCCTCCCCAAGATAAGTCCCTAAAATCTAGGGATTTGGATAATCTCATATGTTGTAATTATCTTTTAATTGTTAAATATGGTAATTAAAGATTTTGAATTATCCCCTCCCTAATTTTCGAAATTTAGAGGGATATAAGGGATTAGGATAAAATTAATTGATTAATTTATAATAATCATTTTTGATTTAGTAATTAAAATTAATTGTTTAATTTAGATAATTATTAAATCAAGAGTTTTAATATTTAAAATTTTAATTTAAAAGTTATAAATTTTGAAAATTTTAAATTGAGATTAAAACCCTAGTATTTTTAAAATGTTTAAAATACACCCTATACTATTATATCTATGTATAACTAAAATGTTAGTCTTACCGTTAGTAGGCCTCATTCACAAAGTCGGTCTATAAGGGGATATAAGGTTATGACCTATAAAATGGCCGTTTAATGGGTATCCACTCTTAACCACCGCTTTCTTGATTGGTGAATGCTCGTTAGCCGAACGGGTAGGATAGGGCAATCCTCTCTTAATTAATAAGTATAATGAAACTATATAAAGTAACTGAACGTTTTTACAAAATTCTCAATCCTAGTTACTTTAGGCAAAAGTGAATTGATGCAATCCCATGAATTTACACTTTGCACCCTTGCTAAAAAGTTAGTGGAGCGTGTGTGGTTGACCGGCACACTAATTGGTTCTAAGAAAAGGTGGCAAAGGGTGACTCATTGTTTGTCATAGTTCGATAAAGCGTGTGTGGTTAACCGGCACATCGAATAGATGACTGTAACAATGAGGGCACCATGTATATTTGCATGGTTATTCACACCCGCTTTGTGATCCTCGGCATCCCAGTCACAAACAAGAGGGGCATATCAAGATTTAAACATGTCATTGAAAAGTTCAATGAATCTCAAGAAATCTAGGAATTCTCAATACAATTAAAATCTAAGCCTTATGTTTTTCATGGTGAAGAGTGAATCGTCATTCACTTACCTCCAAATTATTTGCATGTTGGATTACGGCATCCATTTTCTAATGTGTAAATAATGTTGTTGGATCCAAGCCATAATTTCTCATTTTCAGTATTTAATTAGGGATTCAATTCTAATCAAACTTTATTCCTTTCTATTTGTAGATGTCTAACGCAAATGCAAACAACGTTGCTGCTGGTTCATTCTCGCTAATGAGCCTATGTCAAAAGGTGACATTCAACGGATCGAATTTCAACGAATGGATAAGATACATTTGCATGATTTCTCTCTACGAGGACAAAGCATATGTCCTCGACGAGAAGCTTGAAAGGATCTATCCGCAAATCGCTACTCCCAAAGAAATGGTAGTCTTTGAGACCCATGAGCGTGATGCAACGAAAGTCCATTGCATTATGCTGGCCACTATGAATCTTGAACTCCAAAAGTCCTATGAGGACATGTATCCCTATGAAATGCACCAAGATTTGCTAGAGAGGTACCACCAAAGCGCAAGGCAAGAGCGTTACGAGATCATCACCAACATGATCACCATTAAGATGGGAAGTGGAGAATCCCTAACCTTGCATTTGCAAAAGATGCAAAGGTATGTTGATCGTCTTTGGAAGTTAAATGTTAAATTTAGGGAAGACTTGGCTATCGACATCATTCTCCACTCCTTGCCCTCGTGATACAACCAATTTAGGATGACCTACCACATGAACAAAGAAGAAGTCAACCTAAGCAAACTCCAAGGACTCTTAAGGACTATTGGGAGAAACCTCAAGGAAAAATCTATTGCACTAACTCCCACTCCACCCGTTGCTCCTGTTTTGGCCATTGGGCAAGGGAAGGGAAAAAGAGGAAGGCTCCTTCAAAGAGCCACCACAAGGGAAAGCCCCAAGATAGTTGCTCTACTAGTGGAACCAAAGTCGGTCCTGCTAAGCCCAACTCAAACCCTAAGGAGGCAAAATGTCACCACTGCGACAAAATAGGATACTAGAAGAGAAGCTGCCTGGAATATCTACAAGCCATCAAGGATGAGAAGATCAAGCCATCTTTTGCAGGTATTTACACAATTAAATCTAA